AAAAATTCATTGAGCATCTTTATAACCAGTGTTTTGAACTCTGCATCTGTTAAATTACTTGACTCCATTATATCTGGATCTCTGTTCTGTTCTGTCGTATGGTTTCTGCTTCGTCTTCTCGTTTTGGCTGCCTTTCTGTGTCTGTTTCTATGTACTAAGCAAAGCTCCTTAGTCTCCTGGTCTTATTAGTGTGGATTTGTGAAGTAGGTGTCCAGTGGCACAGTCCTGAGAGGGGTTCAGCTGCAGGCCAAACAGCCCAAGCCTCTACCCCTTTGGGGCCACCTGTTAAGATTCAGCAAGCAATCAACAAATGCTGTGCTTATAGTTGCTTTAAAAGGCCACACCAGAAACCGAGGCCAGCTGCTTCCACCAGTGTGAGTCTCAGCAAGGAGCACCTGACTCGCTGAGGATATACCTAGATGTGGCTTGGGTGGAGCCGTGAGTTAGGGTAGGTGGGGTTCCAGGGAACCCTCTGGGTGGAGTGACCTTTGTTATCCAGTTTGATGACGTCACAGCTATGGTGGCGCTGTGTCCAGTGCACTGGTGTGGGGAGGGCTCAACAGGGAACAATGGATACTGCCGGCACTTCTGTAGCGAGCGAATCTCTCCTCGGCCCTCATTCCGACAATGTCTCCCTGTAAGTCCCTCGTGCCCTCTGTGCGCAGCCCAACGGACACTGGTGTTCAGAGTGAGCAGTTCCATCACCGAGAAAATCCGGTCATGGTTGCAGCCCCTTTAAGAGGCGTCTGCTGCTGCCAATGCCGAAGCCAGTTTCACTCAGCTGCTCGGGACCGGGCAGCCCCATGTCCTCACCTTGTCTTACCTTCTGCTGTTGCAGAGTGCTTTCCTGGATTTCTCTGTAGTTGTATGACTTGTTCCTCTAGATCTCAGGAGATTTTTCCTTGCTGCTGCTCCTTATTACTGTCACAACTTTGATTTGGTCACCAGAGGGATGAACAGAGCCTTTATTAACTACGCCATTTTTTTCTCATTCTTCACCTTCCACAATTTTTATTTTCCCAGTGTTCAAAAACAATTTAAAATGAATGTACATAATAGCTTAATCATGATACTTTGTGAATTTCAATTGGCTAAAATATGTAACAGGTTTATATAAATATTTTTTAAATGATCAGTGGTTGACAAAAACATATTTGCTTTCAAAATGGTCCATTGGTCTTTCTCACCCTGATAAAGTACATTCAAAAGTATTAGGTGTACAAAGGAAAGCAGAACAAAGGGCTAAATTTGGTTATATTTTCTGATTTTCTTTTTGAAAAATATCTCCAATTAAATTTATTTTAGGCTTCAACTGCATTGAGCCACTACTTCAAAAAAATTAGTGATAGCCATTGGAAAAAAAAATGTCGAAAATGTTTCCTTATTTCTTCTCATTTTAAATATGAACTCTCCAGTTTGGCTTTTGAAGATTCTATTATGTGACCTGAACTTACTCTAACTTTACAGTAGATCTCATTATGCAGTCTCCTAGTCAAGCATGTCTCCTCCAGCTGGAAAGCAATATAAAATATGTTAAGGATACTTTATCAGTAAGAAGAAATTGAGATCTAGGGCCTCATTCATAAAATAAAAGCAAAGTTTTCATTTCATAAAATAAATGTAAAACTTAGTAGTCTCCCTTTATCCATGGGAGATACATTCCAAAACCCCCAGTGGATGTCTGAAACCACAGATAGTATCAAACCCTGTATGTACTCTTTTTTCCTATACATATACACCTATGATCAAGTTTAATTTATAAATTAGGCACAGTAGGTTAATAATAACTAATAATAAAATAGAACGATTATAATATACTGTAACAAGTTATGTGAATGTGCTTTCTCAAAATATCCTATTATACTATCCTCATCTTTCTTGTGATGATGTGAGATCACAATGCCTATGTAATGACATGAAGTGAGGTGCTGAGAATAGCATGCAATTTAAAACTTATTATTTCTGGAATTTTCCATGTTTTCTGCACAACTTTAACCACAGGTAACAGAAACCACAGGTAACAGAAACCACAGATAAGGGGACACTACTGTATACTAAGTATATTAATGTCCCAATTTTGTAACTGTTCAGAGACAAGTCTTGAGTTCAGGAATGTGTACAGGCAAGAATGAAGCAGAGTCCATTCCTAAACGGACTCGAGTGGGCAGGTTCCCAAAGCTCAGACATGGTCAGTGAGGGCCCAAAGTGGATATGGGACTCTTAGCAACACAGAGCTCAGTCCTTAGAATCAGAACACAAGGCTAGGCCAGCAATTAAGAGTTAAGCAAGCACTTCTTACCTTTTTTCTGCTTAAGGTTAAGACTGGTCTTACAGGTAAGACTGGGGTTAAGCCTGTATATTGGATAAAGTTCAGGGGAGAAAAGGATGGACCTGGCAGTGAAGAAAGGAGGGTTGCAAAAGCTGAGAATCCAGTCAGATCTGACAAGGAAGCCGAGATGGTTGTTTTGTTACAAAAAGGCTCCTAGGTGCTCATGTATAGGAAAAACCCAATACACGTTGTATGAATAGAATTTTTATTAATAGTATCTCATCTATGGTCATGTTACATTTTACTGAGCTTGACAGATTTTTTACCATTGAGATGTTTATGGAAGAACGTTTGAATTTGCTGCCAGGCATCTACCTGTGCCCTTGAGTGAGCCTTTGGCTCACCTCCATAGAATACTGGTACACCCAATACTGCATGCACAGAGGCTCTACAAGGAGGAAAATGAGGTGGGTCAATACAATGACCAGTTCCTGGGTAGTAGATTATCTGAGGTCTGTCTTTCCCATGGGCTTGTAACCGTTCAGAGGCTAAATGAGCATAGAATTCACTCTTCCAGTTATGATCATCCATGCCAACAATAAATAGTAAGGGCCCCTGAGCCTTTTCTAATGGAATAAGACTTTGGTGGTAGGGTTCCTCCAGTGGGTTGTTCCAAATGTCCATTAAATCCAAAAGGCCTGACTCAGTGATTGAATATTTCCTTGAGTCACTGCCAAGATCAGGAATAATCATATCCTTGTAATGCAGAGGAGCAATGGTGTTGGCCACGCAGGCATTGACAAGTACAGTGGCTGTGATGCCCTTCAAGAAAGAGGCCATTGAGAGACAGAGGTCACCTCCTTTGGAGAATCCAAGAAGCCCAACACTAGGGCCTTTCACCTGATGAGGAGAGAGAGAATAAGCCTAGAATTTACAAATGGAGGACACAGTGATTTTACATTCTCTAGGTAACTTTCTCAACTGTTGTTTGCTTTCCTTCCTTATGCAACAATCTACAAAGTTCAAGTGTGTTGTCTAAAAAGCAAATCAATTGATTTCCTAGTACATAGGCCCTTCACTAATATTTATAGCGTCTGGGTCAAGAATATACACAGAGGCCCATATATTCTATACCTAAATATTTATTAATCAAATGAACACATATAAATAAAATATATTTTTTTCTCCTATCTTGATAAATACACCTCCATAACAATTTATAAGGTTAAACTTTAACCTCCTCTGAGTGCTGCACTGGAACATGGCATGGAGGAGAGCCAGCCCCTGGCCCCAGTCCCGGGCCCACACTCCTTCTCTCCCATCCCTGGCTCCATCATGTACCTTGAGGGGCCTCTCACACTTGTGTGTGGATACCCAGCCTATATGTTTAAGGCTTAGGGGTATTAACATTGAAGTTCCCTGAAAAGAGGCATAGGGCCTAGAAGCAGGATCAGTGTGCTATTCAGCAGAGAATTCTGAGGTTCCAGATCCCAAGGGCATGGTGGGAGGGGGACCACATGGGTTCAAGGTGGACACATCCCCTTGGTCCCCTGGACACCTTACTCTGTGGGCAGAGATGCAGCCAAGGAAGGCCAGAGTGTGACCATCTAAAATGAAGGATCCAAGGAAGAAGCCCCTTTTGCCTAAGTTTAAGGGCAGAACTAATAGTATATATTGGTTTATTCTTTTTACCAGGACCTTATCTTCCCCAAATAAATAATCCTCACAGTTTAAGATCACCTAGGTCTTAGCAACTCTGCTAAGAGACCAGTTTCTGAATTTTAACACAGTTAAACCATTCTATAGACCTTACAGACGATCTTATTCCTTAACATTAAACTGTTTGGGTCTCTTTAAGTTCAGATAGTAGCAGAGAGTATGTATTTCATTTATAATTACTTCTAAAATATTTAATTAATTTTCCACTATCAGATAAGAACTTTGTCTACGAAACCTTAATACCATTATCACACTTAACAAAATTAATAATGATTCCTTAATATCATCAAATACACAGTCCCTATTCACATGTGACCAATTGACTGGAAAAATGTCTCTTTAGAGTCAAACTTTTTCCTCTACCCATTTACATTAATCTTATAAATGAGAAAAATTGAATCCTGGAGAGGGCAATTGCCTTATTCAGGAACTTGGTAGTAAATGTAGAACCAGAACTCAAGATTAGTAACTTTTTAGCCCAGCACTTTAAATAATGGTCAAGAATAAAAGGGAACTAAACACTCAAGTCTTAAGAGATTAGAGAGAGATGGGTGGAAGTGGAAATAATAATCCTTTTAATAAAACTTTTGAAGGAGACTTTGTGTCTCATGACATACTTCTAGCCCCTGGTGTCCCAGTAGGGCTTCTGGATCCAGCCCTGTATCTGCTGTGTCTCTCCTCTGCATTCAGACAAGCACCTAAACCCACCTTTGGATGCTGCAGCATAAAGTTCACAGCTTCTTCAAAGTACTCCAAGTGCATGTTATTCAGATACTCAGGGAGGTCTTCAAATCTGAAATAAGCCAGAGCAAGCACAGCAAAACCATGTCCAGCCAGGAGACTCGCTCTGTATTCACAGAGGCCACCACCACTTCCAAACAGATCGATGATCCCAGGGAAAGGCCCTGCACCTGGAGAATACCACGAATCATGAGGAATTCTAGACTCTTAAAAGACATTCTTAGGTTTCAGATTTTGGCAGTCAGGAGAGAAGCAAGGAAGGTTGGGGGTTTGGGATTCGTGGAAGGACCCTTTTACTCAAACAAACAAACAAAAAAACCGGTGGGGAGAAGGGAGAACAAAATGCCTTTTCTCTAGGATTTCTCATATATTTTCACAAAACGATGAAAATAATATATAGTTGAACCTTGAAGAACACGGGGGTTGGGAGAGCTGCCCCCCTCCCCTTTGTGGTCAAAAATCCCCATATAGCTGTCCCTAGTTATCCACAGGGATTGGTTGCAGGAACCCTGCAGATATCCAAATCCACAGATGCTCAATCCCTTATATAAATGGCATAAAACAATATATAGTCAGCCCTCCACATCTGTGGATTCCCAACCAAAGATGGAAAAGACTGTTTTTGATCCATGGTTGGTTGACTCTCCAACCATATACTCAGTGATATAGAGGACCGACTCTATATTGATTGAAAAAAATCCAAATACAAGTGGATCTGCACAATTCGAGCCCATGTTGTTCAAGAGTAAATGAAATTAGAAATAACATGATGAGATGTTCATTTTCCACCAAATTTTATTTCTTGTTTTTCTTTTTGTAAAAATCTATTTGAGAATGCTTTGAAAGGCATAAAGCAGTCTATATACATAGGGGATTATTATATTCCCTGTCACTTTATGCCCTCTGCTCCAGCCTTAAACAATGCTATTCCTAAATGTGCCATGTTCTCTTTGGCCCCTGAAAATGGTATATACTATTCTCCTCCCCTCTCCACCTTTTTTTGACATGGTTGACTTCTCAGTCTTCAAATCTAAATTTAGATCTCCCTTCCTGTAAGACTTCCCTGATCTCTCTCCCCTCCCCAAGTGAGTTAGATAGCCTTTTATATGTTCCCACCCTGGGCTTGTACCTCCCCTGCCTTAGCATTTACTACACTCATTATAGGAGCAAGTATAATTGCCCATGTGTTCTATTAGGCTGTAAGTACAGTGAGGCCCATGTCTGATATTGCTAGCCATAGCATCCCGGTACAGAGCACAGTCCTTAACACATATTTGTTAAATAATTGAACCCTTCTACATTATTTACGGCTTTTGAGACAAAATACAATAAATTTTAAATGCACCACATACTAGGCACTGAAATAGCACTTAAGATTGACATGACTAGGTGGTGAGTTTTTGTTTTTTTCATGAAAGTCTTTAGGAAATTCTTAATGAATCAGTCAATATGGTTTATTGAGCTTCTACCATATCCCTGTGCAAGCCTCTAGAAATATATAGTGATCTAGAAGACCCAGTTCCAGCCCCAGGAGTTCACAGTTGAGTAGGCAGCCACTAGTTAGGGCTGTGAGTTGCTGAAGAGCTGTAAGAATAAAGCAGGACCTCTTGTTTTGGAAAATAATCAAATAATCCCCTGAGCTGTGGAAACTCCAGCATTTCTCTGTAGTGGGGTTTTAGTCCAGCGTTTAGTTGGAAAGGGTGGGGTCAGGGGTCTTGTTTCCAGGCTGCTGTTACCTAGTAAGTCTTTGTTTTTACTTAGTTTAGGGTTTCTCAACCTCAGCACTACAGACATTTAGAGCAAGATATTTCTTTGTTGGGGGGCTGTCCTGTGCTTTGTGGATATTTAGCAGCATTGCTGGTCTCTATTCACTAGATGCCTATAGCACCTCCCCCCCAACCTCCCAATGTAACAACCAAAAACGTCTCCAGATATTGCCAAATGTCCCCTGGAGTGGGAGGCAATCATCCCAGGTTGAGAAACACCGTCAGACTGTTTACAATAGTGGGGAGAGGACGATCAGGGAGTTTTGTTTGTTTTGGATTATGGTAAACTGTCTCTGTGGCTTTTGGCCTACTTGTAAGTTTGATGTGAAAGGAGATAAAAATCACTTTTGCACACAGGCAGAACTCATTGCCTAATATCGGTATTTGAAACACAGCCAGCTCTCAAATATATGTTGTATGCACTTTGAAGCATAGAGCTAAGGGAGTGACAGGATCTCCAAGAAGTGCCGTGAAACTTAAGAATTCCAACCAAATCCACGACAGATTCTGGAATGCCGGGACCAGTTTAAGAAAGTTCCACAACCATGTGGTTTCCTGGCCAAGCTAGTGGCCGCCCAGGGTCTCCCTCTCCACCCGACTTCCAGAGCAGCTAGGGAAGCCGGCAACTGACCTGGCGGCAAGAAGAGCGTGGCGCGAACCCGGCCTGTGCGCACTGGCTCCCGCCGCACCCCGGGCCCCAGGAAGTCGCGCTCGTGCACTGCCCGGCCCAGGATCCTCCCGGTTTCGAGCTCGTGGCCGTCGAGCACCTCCAGCTCCACGGCGAAGGGCGTCTGCACGTCTCGCTTCGCTAGTCGCAGAAAGGGCTTCTCGGGCTCCAGGGCCCAGAAGAGCCCCATGGGCTCGAGCCCCGCGAAACTGCCGCCCAGCGCGGGCGCGCGCG